ACCCTCCTGTTTCTTTGAGAAATCACAGCCCCATCAAGTTGACCCCTGAAGTAGTTTTGCCCAAACTTTTACTGGATTTTGTGTATGGAGCCGTGGAAGTACAGAACGGGATTGTTGTAGAACCCCACGCACCCCACTTCAGAAATCTCAGATGTGCCTGCCGTTCTTAGTTGACCTGACAGTTTTGTGTGTGTGTGCGAGCACTGGGTGGACCGCATGGACATCTTGAGCAGTTGGGAGCAAGCCCTCGCTTGCTGAAGTTTCTGGCCACTTTTGGTGGAGAAGTGATCCCAGGGCCGGGGGCCGGGATGGGGATGATTAATTCACAGGAGCACTGTCTGAACCAGCTGCGAGAGCTGGCCTGGGAGTTAAGCAGCGGCTGCTAAATGGCATCACCACCCTTGCTTCGTTACATGCTGGGTCCTGTCCCCCGCCATCCTTGGAGGCACGCAGAGAGACTGTATTTCCTCCCCGGAAGATTCGGGCCTGAGAGGAGGGAAAGGAGAGGGGATTAACTTGCTTCCCCCTTGGACCTGCGCTTCCTTAGCTCCACAAAGCTCAGTGTGCAGTTGAAACCTCTGGTATGCGGGGGGGTGAACAGCTACCCTCCCTAAACATAGGGGTGGGTTACATTCCAGGCCAACAGGTGACAGTCAGGTGCCTGCCAGAGTGGGTCTTTCTAAAGGGCAACTGAGTGAGGGAAGTATCAATAGTTCAGTTGCCCTAGTTTTTAAAGTAGATTCTAGCATTTTAATATTCATTCATTCTTCCAACCTTGGACCATGCAATCTACAATACAAATGTAAATAAGACTCAGTCTCCCCTCAGGGATGGTCCACAGGCCAACAGCATCAGCAGCCCCTGAGAGCCTGTTAGAAATGCAGAATCACAGATCCCATCCCAACTTTCTGAATCAGAGCTCACATTGTCACGAGCTTAAATCGTTCCAAGACCCCCCAGTGCTTCACATGCCCATTAGAGCCCAGGTATTCTGCCCCTCCTTATTCCTCCACCTGTGACAGATATCACTTGTCAGTCAAAGAATTTTTTCACTAACTCTATATTTGAGTTGGCACATGTGATGAAGTCTTTGTCATCCCTGATGGAGCAGGAGAGAACTCAATAAAAGATCATTACCAGGCAGTGTGGTAAGTACACTAAGTGAGGTGCAGACTACGGGCAGCTAGAGGAAGGACCAGCCCTTTCTGCGGGGAATTGTTATTTGTTGAACTGTGTCCCCCCCAAGAGATAAGGAAGTCCCAACCCCCACTATGTCAGAATTTGACCTTATTTGGAAATAGCGTCACTGCAATGTCATTAGTTAAGGTGAGGTCATACTGGAGTAGGAGAGGCCCCTAATCCAATGTGACTGGTGTCCTTATAAGAAGAGGAGATGGAGAGGGACAGGAAGAAGTCCACATAAGTATGGGGGCAGAGATTGCAGTTAGGTAGCTGCAAGCCAAGAAAAGTCAAGGATTGTTGGCAAACACCAGAAGTTAAGAGGAAGGCGTGGAATGGATTCTGCCCTAGATCCTTCGGGGAGAGCATGGCTCTGCTGACACCTTGACCCGGACCTCTAGCCTCCAGAGCTGTGAGAGAATACATCTCTGTTGTTTTAGGCCCCCGGTTTGCAGTACTTTTGTTATGGCAGCCCTGGGAAACTAATACAGGGGTCAAGGAAGACTTGACAAAGAAGGGCAGTCGAGGGTTTCTTGGGCACTCCCAAAGGGCAGTCATCTCTGCAGAAACAGCACAAGCAGAGGCAGGGAGGGGAGAGCGCCCGGGCTTGTGCAAATGGTCACGTAGTGGGTGCTTGGATTCTAAGCAGGAAAGGGACAGATTGATCTGGGGCAGAGACCAGCCTTTCTGCTGAACAGCAGCAGCTCAGCAGAGGAGCGAGATAGGAGAGCAAACACACGCCTTCAACACCAGGGTAGGAGAAGTTAAAGGTGATGAGGCTCCTCATCTGTTGAACAGGTAGGTAGTGGGACTTCTGAGAAGCTTTTTCACTCTCTCGATAAATATTTGCCACATCCTGTGTGCCTGGTGCTGTGCTAGCAGAGGGGTGTAGCACCGGGTCAGACAAAGTTCCTGCCCTGGGCAGCTTAAATTGCAGGGGAAGGCAGATGATAAGCAGTAAAGAAACATACAAACAAGATAACTACCGCTGGTGATAAAATGCTTTGAAGGGAATGAACGGGTGATAGGAGAGAGTGACCTTCTGTAGGGCAGTCAGGGAGCTGAGGATTCAATGAGACAGCTCCCTGACTGCCCCCCACTGATAGGCACTTGATAAGGTTCTTATTCTTCCTTCAAGGATGAACATTTTATCTACTCTCTCCTGGTTTTTAATTTGCAGCAGTAGATGATGGATTTTCCCCCCCAAAAAACCTCTTTCCTTCCCGTGTGTAGGGCAGCTTAACATTTGTCTGGTCAGATGGGCTTCCTAGCCTCTGATTGGAGTCCATGTGTGCTGTCTTCTCTGCTTAAAGCAAGAGTCTAAATGGGGCAGACAGGATTTCAGAGTCCTCTACCGTCTCCTATGGACCCTATAATCAGCTCTCGTGGAGTGGTCCCCAGTGCCTGACTTGGTCCAGCTCTATGCCTTGGAGGAAGGACTTGTTTCCCTCTCCTGACAGTGTCTTCTCCTGTCTTTGCTTGGGATCCAGATCCCACTCCCCCATCTGAGTTGGGCGCACGTCTCACCTCACCATCTTCATGGCTATACCTGATCCCTCTAGCACCTGTAAGCCTCCCCATGCCCTGACTGCCTACTTGTTGGTTGTTGAGTTCCTGCTCTGTGCCGGGTCCTGTGCTAGTAAATCCATGAGTGCAGGCAAGTAGACTAAGACGCTGTTCACACCGTCACACATACCCAAGCACATTTCCCCCGGGACCCATGCTGGAAGGAGACAGGTACCTGGTACCGTGAGTACAGGGGGGATCTGGCCAGGTTAGGAGGCTTCCCTGAGGTACTGAGGTCAAGGTGCTGAGTAGACCTGAGCTCAGTAAAGAGGGGCAGAGGGAGCGGCATGTTCAAGGCAAGGTGATGAGAGAACCTGGGGAGGAAGGGGTGACGGCCTCTTGGGAGCTGTGAGAGATCCCTGCACCCCTTCTCTGTGCCTTCCAGTCCCCCAAATAGCCTGGCTGGTGCCCATCTTTCTGGCCTCTGTTGTCAAATCCAACAGTCACTTCTCAAACCTCTTCTTATTTGACCTGCCTGCAGCATTTGGTGCACTGATCACTCCCTTCTCCTTGAGAAGGTTCCTTCACTTGGCTCCCAGGATTCCACCCTCTCCTGGCGTTCTTCCTGCTTCCCTAGTAACTCCTCAGACTCCCTTCTTGTTCTTCCTTCTGACCTTCCATGTTGAGGAATCCCAGGGTTTTGTCCTTCGATCTCTTCTATCTACCCTCACTCTCTTGGTCTCCAACTCTAGCTTTAAATACCATCTCTCAATTTATCGTCTCCAGCTCTGACCTGTCTCCTAAATGTCAGACTCAGATATCCAACCACCTTCTCAACATCCCCACTTGAATATTCAGTAGGCATCATAAAATTAACAAGACCCATATCAAATCTGTCTTCTCCCCCACAAATTTGTTCTTGTCACAGTCTTCCCCCACCCCAGTAAGTATTCCACAATGTGTGCAAGCCACAAACCTTGGAATCATCCTCGACCCCTCTCCCCCAATCCACTCACATTCAGTGCATCAGCAAATCCTCTCAACTCTACCTTCAGAGTGTATCTGGGATCTTTTCACTTCTCAAGACCTCCACTGCCACCATTGGCTCAAGCCCCCATTGTCTCTTGTCTAGATGATTGTGGTCAACTCCTGACTGTGCTTCTGCAGCTGACCCTGCCATTCTCAAAATGGCAGTCAGAGGATCCTTCTAAAGTATAGTCAGGTTGTGTCATGTCATTCTGCTCAAAATCCACGTGTGATTTAGAATCAAAGCCAAAGACTTTACAGTGGCCTCCGAAGCCCTTTGTGAACTGGCCGTGTGCTGCCTCTCTGACCTCGTCCCTTAGACCCTCCCCGTGCTCACGCGCTCTGCCCCAGCTGTAGCGCCCTCTTTGTTGTTCCTAGAACATTCTAGGCTTATTCTCACCTAAGAGAATTTTTTTGTTCCCTTGCCTGGAGTCCTTTCCCCCCAGGTTTCTGTAAGCCTCATTTCCACATCTTATCAGGTCTTTGTTAAGTGTCTCCACCCATCTGAATTTTCATTCTTTCTCCTGGCTCATTCCTTATCCCTGCCCCTGCATTGTTCTCCTCCCTAGCACTTATCACTGTAGGACGTCATATTTTGCTTGTTTATTGTGTTTGTCTATCTTTCCTGATTAAAACATAAACCCTGTGGGATTTTTATCTTCTTTGCTGCTGTATCCTTGGTATTTAGAACAGAGTCTGGTACATAGGATGGCAAAACATATTTTCAAATGAATTAATAAATAAATTTGTATATACAAATAATTTATAGATTCAACTTAAAAATAATGAATCTTCAAATCTGTGAACATGACACACCTCTCCAATTAGTTTGGTTTTCATTAATTTCTCCCAGTAGTGATTTGTAATTTTCAGTGGACAAGCCATGCATGTCTTTTGTTAAATTTATTTGTAAGTATTTTAAAAATGCTCTTGTAAATAGTATTTCAAATTTCACATTCCAATTGTTTATTGCTGGTATGTAGAAATACAATTGATTATTATATGTTAATTATTTTGGCTTTGTGTCTTGCAGCTTAGCTAAATTTACTTATTAGTAATTTGTAGATTCCTTAGGATTGTCTACACATACAATCATGTTGCTTGCAAATGAAAATAGTTTTACTACTTCTTTTCCAATATGTATGCTTTCTATTATTTTTTTTCTGGCTTTATTGCCCTGGCCAGGACTCCAGTACAATGTTGAGTAGAAGTGGTGTGTGGACATTTTTGCCTTATTTCTGTGCACAGGGAAGTTTCCTCTCTCTCTGCGTGTATCTATTTCTCTTTAGCAGTTTTACAGTCTCCTGTACACGGCCTGTGAGGACCCTCACTCCAGGATCAGCTCTCATTTTCGTGGATTGGGACCTGCCCTTTGGTGATATTGGGAATGTTGGAGGAGCAATGCCTGGATCTCCCTCTATGCTGCCCATGAGGCTATCTGCATCTTTCACCTTTCCAGGTATGCGACTTGAAGTGAGCTTTAAGGTAGGCAGGGGCCCCTGGCAACTTAATTTTTAAAAATACTATTTTATGTTTTAGCTAGTCCTCAGGGACAGGACACTGAGTCAAGTGTACCCCTCCGTGTATGTTAAACCATCCTCGTCCCTCTGTATAGGAGCCTCTCCTGCGATGTTTGCTATGATTTCCCATTTCCTCCTTCCCTTAGGCAACAGTTCTGATGTGTATAATATGTACCCTTTTCTATGCATTCCTAGAAAATGTGTGTAGTTAATTTGTGTGCAAGTACCTAAAGCTTAATGATATAATTGTAATATGTTAATATAAAAGTGATATTGTTATAGATGTCATTCTGATTCTTTTTTCACTCAGCTTAATGTTTTTAATCTTGTCATGTTGCTAATGTATGATAATATAACCAGCTACACACACAGGATAAAAAATTAATGCCATAAATGAATTAAAAAGGAGAAATGAAAGGAAATTAGTTTATAATAAAATATGTAATTTGGTATGTAAATGCACAGGCACAAATCTACTAGACGACATAATGAAATCTATGATTTTAAGGAAAAACTCCGGATTTAAGAGAAGTAAGGAAAGATTCACTTTCTATTGTTGAAACTTTCCTTGACACTTTTCCTTCCCAAAGTTTTTGGTATTTTGAAATAAGAGCTAAACAGCTATCTGTGTGATTATAAACATTTGCCCACATGAATGTTTGGCAGGACGCGTGGGGCATGATGTGTGTCTTTGTGTTTCCTGTGCGTTGTGGGACCTCTAGTATTCCTGCCCTGCCCACCAATTCCTGCTTGAACCCCTTCCCCCAGTCACTATGACAGATAAAAATGCTCCCACAGGTGGCCAAAACGCTTCCTGGAGCTGGATCATAGATCTAAATCTAAAACCTAAAACCGTAACACTTCTAGAAGAAAACGTAGGAATAAAATCTTTGTGACCTTTGCTTAGGTAAAGATTTCTTAGATACCAATACTAAAAGTGTGATCCATAAAACAAAAAAAGGGATAAATTGGACTTCATCAAAACCAAAAATTTTTGCTCTTCAAAAGACACTGTTAAGAGAATGAAGAGACAAACCACAGACTAGGAGAAAATATTTGCAAAGCATATTTCTGAGAAAGGACTCATATCTAGAATATGTAAAGAACTCTTAAAACTGAATAATAAGAAAACAAACAACCCAATTTAAAGAATGAAATGATGTGAAAAGATGCTCCATCAAAGAAGATAATATGGGGGCCGGCCTGGTGGTGCAGCAGTTAAGTTCGCATGTTCCACTTCTCGGTAGCCTGGGGTTCGCTGGTTCGGATCCCGGGTGCGGACATGGTACCACTTGGGAAAAGCCATGCTGTGGTAGGCGTCTCATGTATAAAATAGAGGAAGATGGGCATGGATGTTAGCTCAGGGCCAGTCTTCCTCAGCAAAAAGAGGAAGATTGGCAGTAGTTAGCTCAGGGCTAATCTTCCTCAAAAAAAAAAAAAAAAGATAATATGGATAGCAAATAAGCACATGAAAAGATGTTCAACATCATTGGTCATTATGGAAATCCATATTAAAACCACAATGAGATGCCACTAGTACCTGCTGGAATGGCTAAAATCGGACAGACCATCCTTACTAAGTGTTGGCAAAGATGTGGGTACTGGAACTCTGACACACTGCTAGTGAGAATGTAAAATGGTACAGCCACTTTGGAAACAGTTTGGCAGTTTCTTAAAAAGTTAAACATACACATCCTATGTGAGCTAGCCATTCCACTCCTAGGTATTTACCCAAGAGAAAAGAAAGCAAGCAGGCTGACTCATACATGAATATTCATAGCAGCTTTATTTGTAACAGTCAAAACCCAGAAACAACACAAATATCCATTTACAGATCAGTGGATGAACAAATGGTGGTATACCCCAAATGCCCCTGGAATGGTATTTCCCCTCTGAGGACCAGAAGTCTAAATTTCGGAACTTCATATTCAAGGCCCTTCAACATCAATTCCAGTTTCTCTTTCCGTCCTTCCCTCCTGACATTTCCCTTGTGGATGCTCTATGTTGAGTGCTCTAAGTTCCCTGAACACTGGGGGCTTCACAAGATGAAGCTTTGCAACTGCAGTTACCATGCCTCAGCTGTCCTGTCCCTCTTAGGCTCTCTTATCCTGTCGACCTCCCGCTTACATATTTCCTCTCAGGCACCTCCATCTCCTCCAGAGTTAGATACTCCTTCACTTTAATCTAGCAGAGCTCTTCAGCATGATACAGGATTCACTTATGATATGTCTGCCCACTGACTTGTCAGTTCCTCAAGGACAGGAAACGAGGCTTGGTCTTCTGTTTTGTTTTACATCCTTTGTGCTTAGCGTAGAGCTTGGTAGACCACAAGTACTTGAATGAATAAATGAATGAATGAATGAATTGGTGTTCAGTTATATGTCTTACTATTAATAAGCTAGTAATTTCAGCAGCTGGGATGGTTTTATATGTGAGTTGGATCTTCTGCTCAACTGAAGACATGCTCCATTTCAGCAACAATTATCAACACTTTTAACCCTAATCACCTGATGGGTCACTGGCACACCACTGTCATCTAGAGATTCTGATAAGATACGTAACCATTGTGGTACCAGAAATAGTAATTACCCAAAAGTTCTTCAACAAAGCACTGATTAAAGAAATCTCACTTCATGCACATGATGTATTCTTTGTGTTGGTTAAAAAGACTGAATTCCGTACAAACTGATGTGGAAAAATGTAAATAAATACAATACTGATCAAAAAGAGAAGTTTCAAAACAACAGAATCGGATCTTGATTTAAAACTGTATATGCATATAGATCTGTATACACATTGTTTCAGTATGTTCTTAGAAAAGTCTGGAAAGATATTCACTCAGGGAGATGGAAAATGATGGGGAAACATTCTTTTCTTTCTCTCTCTCTCTCTCTTTTTTAACTTTATATGCTTCAATAATCAAATTTACCAGCACATTTTTCTTTAGTAATTAAAAAACCCACACAGATTAAAAATATATACCTGACCAGTGAGACTTATTGTTATGACTTGTTGTTAAGACTTATTGTTATGAATTTGTTTCAGATGCCTCCAAAAATTAATTCTTAGGTTAATTTTAACATTTTAGATGTATGTAGCATCTTCCTAAAATGCAAGCCACTTTTACTTTGTGATCTTACTGTCACCTTCAGATATCTTTTCGGGCAGGTGGAGTGGGCAGGGAACTCAAGTCCGGGAAGGGTGGATGTTGTGTCCGAGCAGGGTCTGAGCATAGCCTGCGGGTCTCTTCTCCTGCTCCTAGACTGGCGTACTTGTCAGGAAAGTTCAGCTGTCCCCTGACTGAAATAGGACGCTCTCGTTCCTTCAGGTGGGTAAGCACATGCGCTTTGCAGTCACAGGCCCATTTCAACCTCTGGCTTTACCACCTACTGGCTGTGTGACCTTGGCCAAGATGCTTAACGGCTGTGAGTTAGGTTTCCTCATCGTACCATTAGGATCCTGGTAGTATCTGTGTCCTAAGATTGTTATGAGGCTTGGATGTGAAGGGCCTGAAATGAATGTGGTGCTTGGTAAACATTAGCTTTTGTCATTCTTGTTGCTCTTGTAAAGGAAAACACACGCACCTGAAGAAATGAGGCCAGATTAAAGGAGATCAAATGAGGAAAAGGACGATTTTCAATGAGTTGAAGATACAACTCTATTTCCCAGTACTGTCTCCCCTCCTCCTTTTTTTTTTTTTTTAAGCCTTCTGTTGCTAAGTGCTAGCAGATGCCTCATTGCAAGCTCAGTAGGAATTGGAGGAAGGATTGGAGAAAATATTTTGCAGTGTAAGGAAGGATGAGAGAATTGCATGGACTGGTAAAAAACATTTGCCAGCAAGGGACTTGGAAAACCTCTTTGCAGTACTGCAGTGATTGAGGAAGCCAGGCCCTCTCATATGCGCCTGGTAGCCCCCAATGGGGCGACTGGTCAGAAAAATATGGTGGTAGGACCAATGCACTAGCCCTGGGGCTAAAAGCTCCGTGAATTCTCAAAGAGGGTCAAGCTTTCCAGTAGGCTCCTTCTGCCCGGAATGTCTCTGTGACTCAAAGTACTTCTGAGAAGGCATCCTGAGCTGCCCTGTCTGTCTGCCTGGCAGAGCTGTCCCAGCCCATTCTCACCTGTGGGGAGAAAGGGGACGAGTAAGGAGGGGTAATGATGTGCCATTAACATGGCAATGTCCAGAATCCTCTTTGGGTCTAGCTGCATAGTGTCCCTGGGTCTCTGGGCACGACTATCAGGTAGAAGCAGAGAGGGCCTTCTCACCCAGCCTTCACAGCTATACGAGGCCAAGGCATGTGGCCCCATGAAGGCGTTAGGAGCCAGCGAGTCACAACAGGACCTCTTAGGAGAGATGTTTTGTTCATTCTACATGGTGTTTGCAAAAGTACTAATGGTGATAGCTAAAACTTAAGTAATGTTTACTATGTGCCAGGCACTGGTCTAATCGTTTGTATTTATATCTGTATATGTATATACATATAAATTTGACATCAATATATCAAATTATATGTATAAATCTATATTATATATAAATATATCTATATATCAAATTCTATATTAAAATTTATATAAATCTTTTACTCCTCACATTCGCCCTATGAAATAGGCACTAATATTTTCATTATCTGTTTTTCAGATAAGGAAAATGAGACATGAAGAGGTTAAGTTGTCCAAGGTCACATGCAGGTAAGTGGCAGAACTGGGATTGCGAAACCCATTCGATCCCGTCCCGGAGCCCAGGCTCCTCACTCTTGCGCTATATTGTGTCTTGATTATTGTTTTGAGGCAATGTTTAAAAACTGGGAGATTTCCTGTCAAAATCTGGACAGCTGGCTTCTCTTGACGGATCAGAAGAACGGGGGACACGGGGCTGCGTTCCCTTGTGGTAACAATTGGCTGGCGTCCAGTCAGACCAGCCCCCGCAAGAGGGGCAGTGGTCTCTGCTTCACTCTGTCCGCTCCCGGCCTCTCATTCTGAGTTCTCCTCCGTATTTGTACCTGCAGACGTTTCCATATTCAACCCCTGGGTTAAGGCCGGATGACATTTATAGATATGAATATTTATACAAACGTCAGGCACTGTTCCTCTGGCATCGGGAGTATTTTCAGCCCCCTTTTCCGAGGGCGGCCACGGGGCATGGAAGAGGGCAAATACTGGCGCGGAGTGAGACAGACAGGTTTTGGCTTTGCCTCGCCCCAGGGTCCACGCTTTGGTTACTATATTATTCTTCTCTCCCTTAGGGTCTGGGAGTTCCTCCGCCTCTGTTAGAGATTCTCTGATAAAGTTGACAATTAGAGCAGAAGAAATTGCTGTACTGAAGAAACCAAATTTGACAAAGTCAGCCTCGCAGCCGTGTCTGTTTTTGCCTGTGCACAGAGCAGACAGCTAGAGACGACAGTCAGCTCTCTAGAGCTATTTATTGAACGAAAAAATAGACCAGAAAGAATTACTCTTGAAGAGAAATCTATTTCAAAAAGTGAGTCGGCAGCTAGTATAAGTTTTAAAATATTTTATTTACTGAACATTTTTTTTCCCTCCTTTATTATTGGAGGAAATGCCCAGCTTTTTCTAGCCAGTATCACCAAGATTTTTCTCTTTTTTTTTTTGGTAAGAAAATGATACAATTCTGGCACATTTCTCAGGAAAGTTTATTTTAAAATTCCCAGGATTCTGTTTAAGTGGTTTGAGAATTGGAGCAAATGATAACAAGAGCAGCTGAGAAATGAGGTTTTGGCCTAGTTATTGTCTAACCAGGTGGGTTGGGGTCCTTGAACTTTAAGAAGCTTTTGTGTTTCCAGCTGTACCAGGAGGATTAGTGGCTTAGTCCTACCTCATGGGAGCAAGTTTTATTGTTACCTCTTATAAGGCTGAAACCATAGTGTTAGGGGTTTTTACACAGCACCATCTGCTTCAGGATCTCAACATGCTTGCTTGGAGTTTTTTGACCCCCCGAGTTCCTCCCTCCAAATAAGGTCAGTATCTGGAAGAGTGAATTCACTCTGGACATAGCAACAGATGTGCCTGGTGATATGTAAAACGCAACTGGTTAGTTATCAATCAATTACGTGGCCATTGAACATCTAATCCAGGCAAGGCAGTGTGCTAGGCTGCTGTGATGGAAACAAAGATAACGGGAATGTGGTTCCTGCCTAAAGGTTGGAGCATATAAGACAAAAGCATACAACTTAAAGTCTAATAGCTATAGGAAATAAAAAAGTTAATAATAAGTAGAAGAGAGAATATGCAGCCTGTGATTAATTTCCAAATGAAGGCTGCAGATGTTAAGTCCTAGAGGAAGTCTGAGTTCTCTTTGATAAGGTTCCTCCTTGAGAAGCAGCAAAGTCCAGATGAATGTGCACAGTGCAATTAGAGGGACACTTTGAAGAGGAACAAAGCTGCTTGTGTGAGTGCGAGGGGCACTGCTAGTCTCTCCAGCACAGTCCGGAAATTCAGTCTGTAACAAAGAACTGTAATTCCAAGTCAATGACACCTTCTAAATCCTCTCAGTCTATGCCCAAAATTATAGAGAAGGAGTGGCGAGTCAATTCCATTCAGCCAGAACTGGATCGCTGTGTACTTGCTCGAATGCCTGGGATCTAATGGAGATGGGACAGCAGCCAGGAGATAAAGCAAGTCAATACATGACTGGGAGAGCTCTGATGCTGGAGCAGATAATGAGGAAGGGGCCAGGATTTGAAAGTGTGACCTCTAAGTCTTCCTGTGTAATGAACAGAATATAATGGAGGGCTGAGATCTGAGACCCTGGTGCACCTGTGTCTGTAGCTACCCAGCCAGCAGCCTGGCTAAGTCCCTGGATAACTTGGATGAGCTCTGTGGGAACTTGACAGCCTTCAGGCCACGTTTACTGCTTACTGAAAGGAGTACAAGGCAGGAGATTTCTTCTAAAGGAGATAGGCATGTGGCTTAGTGGTTGAACTAAGAGCTTGAACTTTGGCATCAAGACCTGGCTCCCCTGTTTACTAGCTGTGTGGCCTTGACCAAGCCACTTACCCTTTCTGAGCCTTAGAAATCATCATCTGTAAAATGGGAGGGAAAAAGTGATAGTACCTACCTAATAGGGTTATTGTGAAGATTAAGTTAAGACAGGGGATGAAAACACACTTAGCAGTGTATATAGCACATGTGAGTACACAATAAATTAAACCTATTATTATTATTAAAGGAAATGATCATGAGGATAAATACTCTAAATTGCTTTTTCTTCCTATGAATTCTGGACCTAGATTAGAGACAAAGTGGAAATTGTTCCATTCTCCCCCCTTAGTTCTCCAACTACAGCCTTGAAGATGAAGAAATAACCCATACGATGGGTAGGGGGTGGGATGAGGGTTTAGAGAAAGGCCCTTGTTTCTATTGCTTCAAAACCCAAACTGAGTTAAAACTCAAAGGGCAACTCTCTGAAGGCATAGGTGGAAGACTGCCTCCAAGGGACCAGAATATTCTTATTTCTCTCCGCGTGGAGAATCTTAGATATCTTACGGCAGTGCTTCTTAAACACTGACTTGCCAGTGAATCGCCTGAGACTCTGCATTTCACAAGCTCCCAGATGATGGTACTGGCCCTCAGACCACATTTTAAGTAGCAAAGTCCTTGGGTCATTGAGTCCAGTGGCATGGTCAAAACTTCTCTACAATTTCCCTGAAAATGCCTATCTATTTTTGCTTGAATACTCCCAATGATCACAAGCTCCCTGCTTGCCAGACAGCCCTTTCTGTTTCTAGATGGCAGGCAGGATGGAAATGTGTGTCTTTTACTGAGCTGTTGCCTGCCTCCTTGTAATAGCCATACACTGATCCTAGTCGATTGCTTTGACGGTAATGGGGGTGGGGACATCCTACAGATGATGCCTAATCCTGATGAGGCTTTTAACCTGGTTTGATCTTCTATGGGGGAAGTCCATGGATGGGCTTTCCCAGTGGGGCTGAGGGGACAGCATTGCCCTGAAAGTGTTCATAGAATTTTGTTTGCATGTACATTTTCTTGGGGAGAGTTTCCATAGCTTTCAACAGTTTTTCAAGGGTATCTGTTCTCTTTAGAAGATTGAGAAGCATTCGATTCTTCTTCCTGGCCTGTTGTGTCCCTCACAAATCTATCTGGAAGGCTAGACCCTCCCTAGTCTCTGTATATCTCGTCTGTCTGTCTCTTTTTTTATTTTCTTTATGTAATTCTTTGTGTAACGCGGTTTCAGGCACCTGTTCATCCTGCCAATTTTTCCTAGTTTCTTTTTTGTCCCTCTAAGGTTGGCCCCAAAACCATATACAAGCTAAACTCCAGGAGTCATCTGACCAGGAAGTGTGAGGCATCTCTCCTGGATTTGACCTGAGACTTCTTTTAGTTCTTCTTAAAAGTACAATATCTTCTTTGAAAACCTTAGTATATTTGGCAGTACTATCAATTTGCAATGTTTGGGTTGCGGATCATAAAAGAAGGAAATAACATTTCAAGGGAATTTGTTGGGATATGTAACAGGACCTGGAGCTGGGGCGCTGTGGCACTGCCTTCAGGTGAGGCTCGATCCAGAGGCTCAGACACTTTCACCAAGGACTCAGCTTCTTGTTCTCTTCCACCATTCTTGTTCTTCCACCATTCTGAATCCTTTGTATTGGTTTTTGGACCACGTGTGCAGGACCTGATAGTTATCCCTCTGAAGTATCATGTTAGACCATAGTCCTAATCATAACATCTTCCCTATCTGCCTCCCTGTCCAACTTATGGTCATCTTCAAATCTGATCAGCATGTCAGCAAATTAATGATGTTGAGCCAGGCGGGTCAAGGACAGAGCCACAGCCTGCCACCCAGACACTCCTGGTAGGGTTGAGGTCACATACCTTTTGGACAGAGATGAGCATTTCTCAAAGTGCATTCTGAAGGACACTAGTCTGCAGGATGGTCCTCAAAAATGGAACCCTATAGTCAAATATATTTGGATAGTGCTACATACCATAACCCTTTCTCAAAGACTCACAATTCTTATGAGTATATTAAAAAATCAGATAAAAGAAATTGTTAGACATGGTTTTCCAAATATATTTGATCGTTAAATTCTCCTCCCCTGCCCTGCTATGTAATATCTAATAATAATCTGTAAACAAAAATTCCAGAGAGCACAATCTGAGAAGTTCTCATGTAGATCTTCAGCCAATTATCAGTCATATAATTGTCTTATCATCTGGCCCAAATTCTTCCATTGATGACCACAAGGGTAAAATGAGAGATGCTGTAAAATGCCTTGCTGAAAACCAGAATATATTGCCAGCCTATTACCTGTTCAGAAGGGAGACTGCTTTCAACTGAACACTGTGTACCCGGGGCTGCTCTCATCCTCACTCTGCCGGGTGAACGTTGGGTGCCCTGGATGGATGTTTCAGGTGTGCTGTTAAGAGCAGAACCCAGACATACTTGGAGGCTCTCAGGAAATCTCTAAGCCAGGGGTAGCCCGTCATCATTCACAATAATAATAGTAATTGAAAAAGTCTAATAATAAGTCAGTTATTGAATGTTTCATCTGTGCCAGGCACATCCCTCAATGCTTTATATGTAATACCTCATTCTCACAGGAGCCCTACGAGTGGGCAATACTTGTGTCCCTGTTTCATGACTGAGGAGCTGAAGGTAACAAGAGCTTGCAAAAGTTACTCAGGGGGACACAGCTAACAAGGGACGGGGCCAGGTGTCAAACTTGACCCCAGAGCCCATGTACTCAACAATTCACTGTATTGTTTTTTTCGCAGTCTCGTAGCCATCAGGAATTTATTAAATGTTGACTTTGGGTATGGTGCAGTATTTGGTAAAATTGAAGACTCCAACAAAATAGGCTCAGTCTTTGCCCTTAAGCGACTGACACATTATTTGGGGGAACTTTTGTAGTTTAATGAAGAGAATGCTTACCAAGCAAATAGAAGTGAATGCGTGAAAATAGTTTGCCAAATGCCACACAAGTGGTCTGCTCAGACCTTGACAGCCAGATCTCTGCAGCTTGCTTTTAGAAACCTGCTTGCCCATGGATGCCTCCCTCCACTCTTCTACTTTATCCATTCTCGAAAATGCCCCTCTCAGCCTTCATCTTTCCCTTGTCCCAGTGACCTCCGCTTGTCCCCGGGGAAACCGCTAACCTCTTGGCTCCTCAGTTCTCAGTCTGTGGTGAATTCCCAGCTGACATCCACAGCACTTGGAGGTGACCTAGTTTGAGTGAAATGCTGGCTTTTCAGTTATATCTTCAATAGGCTGAGTTGGCAGCTTGTCAGCAGGCTTATGTCACCTAATGACTGTGTCAATTCCCTCCTTGCCTGGCTTCCTGTTAGTAAATATCCTCAGGATGCTCTTGGAACCCAGAAAGTGTAGGAGGCCTGGTAAGGGAGCCAAAAAGAAAAGTGGAAAAAGAAAGGGGGGAAGAAGCAGAGAAAACCTGCCACTCCCTGCCAAAAAAAAAAAAAATGTATACCAGGAAAAAAATG